TTGATTTGAGTTTGATGGGGAAGCATTTCTTGCCAGGGGGAACCGTTTGAAATTGAGGTTTGGACAGCATTGTTGTTGGTGAATTTATTGTGAAATTATTGAGTTAACCACCAAAGATAGGGGCCAAGCAAGTCAGAAGGCCTTCTTTCACCCCGGACTGAATTTATAATGTTTTGTGAATGATTTTGGTGATCATCTAAAGCTTATTGTGGTGAGTTCTCACAGTTTTTGACAGGTGCGTGGAATAGTATTTTCTCATTAAAGTCCAAGAAGTGTGGCCCTCGTTGACCTTTACTCTTTCCCATAAATCAGCCATGAAACCACGGGACCTGGAGCTCTTCTCATGTTTCACCACCTCGGTGCTCCACCTCGAGCCGCGAGGCGGAAGGGCTGCACCGCCGAGCCTTGGAAGGCGGCGAGTCCCAACTGGGAGCCCAACACCCCGACACCCTCGTCTGGGTGAACAACTTGGCCCTTGTCTTGGAGAGGCAAGGCAAGTTGGAGGAGGCGGGGATGAGGTCGTTGGGGCTTGGGGCACGCAGAGGTTGCGGAAGTGTCGAGGGGAAGGCAGCTCTCGAGTGGCCAGGGCAAGGGACTGGTGAGTTTCTTGTTTCCAAGTTTCACCGGAGCAATTTAAAAGTTCTGTTTATGAGAAGTTTGATTTTGCTGTGGGACTCGTCTTGGTAAGTTTGCTTTGAAATTTAGTGTCCCACAGCATTGTCGCCGGAGAATTTTATGAAATGACCCCACAAGACGCTGGCCAAGCAAGCGGGACGTGCCAGGGTCGCAAGTCACGAAGCTGTTTCTCCGGAATCCAAGCTTTGGCTGTAGGTACCAGATTGGCCTTAACTTGCATTTTGTGAAAGGGGTAGATCAACATTGTTTTGCAAGAAATGGCTTTGCATAGAGAGCTTTGGCTGATGCATCGATCATGTGTGCCAGCTTCACGCAGTACAAGAAAGCCTTCACCCTGGCTTCGTGGTTCCCACCATCCCATCCTATGCAGATCAGATTCTCAGATTTGCAGGTTTTGGTGTTTGAACAATCAATGTGCCACACTGCATCACCAACACATTGCCTTTCACCAGTTGCGGATCACAGCACTAGGCCCATCTCGCCACGGCATAGGAAGCCACCCTGCTGTCGCCCATCCACAGCCCACCCTGCAGGCGGAGGAGCTCTATCGCAGGGCCCTGACGGGGCGAGAAGACCAGCTGGGCGCCGTGCATCCGCAGACCCTCCAATCCGTCTACAATCTCGCAAAGCTTCTGGAGGACAAAGGCTCCTTCGCAGAGGCAGGCTTCGGTCGGCTTGGATCGGGAGATGTAGATGTGGGAAGTTGGTGGAAGTTGAATAAGTGGCCTAACAGCGACGCCCTCCTGAAAGGAACAGATCTCACTGGTCTTGGCAAGAGTGTTGTCAAGATTCAAAAGGTGATGTTTTCCAATGTTTTCTTTCTATAGATGTTTTCTAGATAGAGACGAGGTTTTGTGACATTCTCGTTGGGTATACCCAACCGGTATTAAGATATTGCAAGTTCCAAGGGATGCGGTTGCAAAATCCCCTTGCCTATTTCCTCTACAAAGTTTGGGTGTCGACACCCAGAAACCAGAGCATTTTATAACATTTTATAGAGGAAGTTTTCTCCATAAAGTTCAAATCTGGTAGCCAAGAAAGGGGCAATATTTGAGGAGATTTTTTTGTATACCATGGCGTGGTTGAACTTTATAACAGTTTTTTTTTGTTTCCCTGCTTTTTCTCATGAAAAAGCAACCTGCTGAAAACGCATTTTGTAGTGGGGACGGCTGATATTGTAGGAAACCAGTTCAAGTTTGTAGGCTTGCATGATGTCATGTTGTGCAATTTTTAGCGCAAAGAAGTTGGGCTTGGAAGGACCTATGTCACTATGTTGGGTGCATGTTGGGCTCATGTCGGGCCTTCATTGGGCCATGTTGGGCTGATGTTGGGCCTCGATTGGGCCATATTGGGTCTAACTTGGGTCGTTTGGAAGCGGTGAGGGCAATTTTCGGGATCCTTTTCTTCGCGCTAAAAATTGTGCAATTTTTAGCGCGAAGAAGTTGGGCTTGGAAGGGCCTCTGTTGGGCGCATGTTGGGCTCATGTCGGGCCTTTATTGGGCCAGGTGAGCCATATTGGGTCTTTCTCGGGCCCAACTATCGGATGTGAGAGGATGTGCAGTTGGGAGGAAAATGCGCGCTGAGTTTCTTTGAGTCCTGGCTACTAGTATCATTGATTGGGATTGGCTTGAACAGAGGCCGTCTCTATAAAGCTCAGGGTTTCTCTACAAAGTTCAACATGGGTTGGACAATGAGGGTGAAAATTCAGAGCCTTTTTCCAAGGCACGTTGGAGCTTGAACTTTATAGACGTTTTTTTTGTTTGCGTCAACCCTTGATTGGGTAGGGTTTTGGTTTTGTACCACCTTGAACTTTACAGAAGCTCAATGCCATGTGGGTGCTACCCACTTTGAACTTTATAGTGATGGTCTGGGGACCATTTCGCAATTTATAGCTATAAAGTTCGGGCCCCAACTACCTGCTGGAATTCACATGGGGGTGTTGCAAAGTCATCAGCCCGGGTCCCGGGTGGCCACACACCACGTGCACCGCATCATGTCCAGGCGGGGCAGCTTTATCTCCAACATTTGCGTGGCATGGAGGCCTCTGCAAGGGTCACAGGGGAACAGTCGATAGCCATCGATAGCCACTTGGTGGCCTTTGGTCCAGACATCACTAGTCCAGCTGGTAGTTGCTGCTTGTGGATTTTGGAGTCCGGATATGACATCTTCCATTAACAATATTTGTTTTGATAAGATTTATTTCACAAAGAAAAAGAACATGTTTCGATTTGATACGTTTCCTGTCTTTTTCTTTTTGTGTGCCATGTTCGGTGTTACAATTTCAGGCTGTCAGCTCTGTGGGGTGAACATAAAAGATTTTCATTGAGCCCGTTGGCCAACAGAGGCGTTCCCCACCCCGAGATCACCCCGAGATCCGCAAAGTTTTGCTGATGAAACTCGGTGCCGCTGTCAGAGCCGCCTCTGCAGGAGCTGCACGGGCCGGATGCCGAAGAGGTCCGAGCGAGTCGCCGCAACCTCGAGCGATTCCAACGAGTGCACGGTCCAGTCGTTTGAAGGCCATGGGAAAGCCGAAATTTGCCGTGAAGACACTCACGGGTCACATGTCTCATTGCGTTGCTTTCTTTAAAAGGACCAGTTCAGAAACCCACCAAAGACTTTAGATTCCGTAGATTCTTTTGATACAAAGCTGGCCTTGCCCTATTGCCAAGGATTTTGTTTCTGAGGCAGCATGTGGCAGGCCGTTTGAGTTTCTCAAAGTTCTGCAAGTTAGTTTGTGTTCAGCAGATGTTGGACCGATAGAAAATTCTGCCAGACTTGTTGCAGTTTGGGTTTAGATCCCCCACAATGCTAACAGCGGTCCAACAAACTGCATTGGTTTGCCCGTGGGATTTGTGTTTGATTCGTTTTGGATCTGATTTAGAAGACTTGCAGGCAGATCGGCACCTTTCAGCCCGTGACCCTGCACATGGAGCCGCCAGCCATCATCATATATTTGTATAAATATGTATCAATATCTCCCGTTTCACCGAGATCCATAGAAGGTTAGAACCCACAATCAGTGCTTTGAATTGCCAAGTGCCAAGTGTGAAAACAGGGCGTGTTTCGATCTTACCCCACCACAGAGCACTTGAAGGTCAGGGCTTCCAATCAGGACAGTGTTGCCCAGATTTATCGTTTCTTTATTGCAACTTGGCCTGCTTCTGGTCATGCGTCAACCGTTCGACTTTGGTGTTCAAGCTTTTGCCAGTAACTGATCTCGTCAAGCCAGTGAGGTAATGAGTGCCTGGTCGTTATTTTGGCCAACCACTTACTCTATCCATGTGTCAAACAGAATGGGTTTGGCCATGTCCGGGTGACCTCGAAAGACACCAGTCAACTGTCAAAGCCCACCATTGGAATGGAAGGGGGTGGAAGGGGGGGTTCTCCACCGACTTCAAACCTGGTTTGTTTCCTTCTCAATTTGGAAGAGGCTAGATATGCGCCAAGCGAATTCTGAGCAATCCAAACTTGGGGCATCAAGAGACAAGGCCCCCAAACACTTTGGACTGGTCAGGAAATCCTTGTGGAGCCCAAATTGCACCCAACATGCTCGCAAGCCGCTATGCTTCAACCGGTCATGAATATTTGGTCAGGATTTGCAACTAGTCCATACGTGCATAAGTTTTGTGCATGAGAATCCATTTCATCCACTGACCCGGCAGTGCCGCGGGGCGTCTGATGTGCGGCGCAAAAGGGGCACCGTGCCTTTGGCAGGAGCATGCAGTGGGATGGCCCTGGAAGATAGGCGTTACACACATGCCAAGCACTTCTCAATCTTGAAACATGAGTCAAGGGCCAAACAAGTGTCTGAGTCTTGGTCTGGCTTTGGCACCAATGCGGCCACCATTCGGAAGGACTGGCAGTTGACTTGGATCATGAGGATGGTTTCTCTTCCATCGAGCAGGGTGTGAAGGATTTCATTCTGAAAAAAAGTCTAGTTCTAGTTGCCTCGCATGCGAACTGCAGATCCAAATTAGTGATGATCGATCTTGCATGTAATTGCAGTAGGGTGGCCTATTGTGTGAATATTTAATCTAATGGCCCCCAAAATGGATGCCTTTTGTGAAGAAATCCCCAACATTCAAACACTTGTGTGAGAGTGAGGTCGTTTTGGACCCTTGCACCATGGTTCCCACGTGTGGCTTTTGGTTCGAATCTACCCTGACTTAGGGCCCTTGAGCTGTTGGTTGCAAAAACGGTCCCTAGCGCAATTCAAACTGGTAGCGGAGCTGGTTGCCGGAGAGTTCACTCCCGACATCCGGACTCTCACGGTGATAGCCTAGGTCCGAAACCTGTGTGTGTTTGTTGTGTGTAAGTGTGTAACGTGGAACAACCTGAAGAATCGCAGAAACCCGTCGAACGCGATGTCGATGGCCGGCCTGAGGTACTGCCCAAGCAGTCCCTCAGGACCATTGGAGACAAAGAGTGGAGCCTACGTGTATAGTGGAGACCCATCCCACTTTCACGAATGGCAATTCAGAACCCTTCTTCGTGTAGAACTCTGCAAGAAGAAGATGGAACAGAAGGCCAAGGAAAAGGCCAAAGAAGCATCCAGTTCCCCGGTCAGCCCTGCTAGCAGTGGCCGGAGGAGACGTGAGCCGACAGAAGCGGCTGAGCAAGAGGATGCTGAAGAGACTGCTGCTGAAGTGTCGCCTCAAGCCCCTTCAGGTGAGCATTCAGCTGGACTTGGTGGTTTTGCTTCACCCCGTAGTCAAGAGGAGCACGATCTGTTGGACGTGTCCCCATATGTGGAGCTTGTCACTAAGGTCATGGAAGGTCTTCGAGGTGATGCATTTCTGATGGCAAAAGACTTGGGTCTGAACGCATTGATGGATGTTGGACCTCCAACCGGACTGGAATTGCTGGTGGAGAAAATCAAGGAGCATGTGTTCCCCTTGAGGTCACATGAAGCAAGGGAGCTTTTCAGGCTTGGACAGCAGGCCAATGGCCCCCTCAGCCGACAGTCTGCAGAGACGATCTTGTCCTTCATTGGAAGGAGGAAACGATGGTGGATTCAGCTTAAGGAGCTCGACCCAGAGATGGCAATTTCCACCCAGATGCGAGCTGAGCTTCTCCTTGAGACATCAGGCCCAAGCCGTCAGGAACAACTCATGGTCAAGACTGCCTGCCCAAAGCCTAGCTTTGAGGGATATAGCGAGATCTTGTTGGAACACCATGGAAGGATCCATTTGAGGGATTCAAGAAACTTGGCCCCTCCTTCAAGGCCCTTTCAACCGAAAGGAGCAGGAAAGAACAAAGGAAAGGGGTGGTATCGATCAGGCTACATTGCAGGTGAGTACAACGACCATGGAGGTGATGAAGCAGCAGATGATGGAGATGACTACAACTGGAATGAGGACTACGACAATGGAGCCTACGTTGGGTATGGTGATGAGCCCAGTACAGAGGACCCAGATGATTGTGACTGGGTGTCAGATGAAGACCTTGGCATTGCCCTGACAGCCATGGCAGCCTGTGACATGGACGAGACTTCAACAGAAGGTCTTGAGGAACTTGGAGAGGCATGCCAACACCAGTTGCAGGCCTACGCTGCTGTAGGACGTGTCAAGGGAAAAGGACCCTTTAAGGGATCAGGAAAAGGAAAAGACAAAGGCAAAGGAAAGGGCAAAAGGGTTGTGAGGACCCAATTGTCCATCCAGGACAGAAAGGTCAGACTTGCCAGTCTGAAGAAGAACAGCCGATGCCTACGATGTGGAGGCTATGGACACTGGGCAGGTGACCCAGAATGCAAGATGCCAAACAAGAAGCCGAATGCCACCACATCGGCCCCAGGTCAAACGCCGAGCCAAGGAAAAGTTGGCTATCTGGCCCTGAGTGATTCCTCAGGAGATGATGACTTGCCTTGCGTTGTCATCGAAGCAGGAACCAAGAAGAAGTCGTGTGGTTACATGGGTTACAGGACACCACAGGGATCACCAGCAAAGGCCAAAGCTAGATCCCCCTTACGACCTTCTCCTGTTTCAAGTGATGGCAGTTTTTCCCATGTGTCCCATGCATCCCATGCTTCAGGTCCAAGAGTGCCTAGGATGCCCAACTTTCGTGCCAGGCGAGAGAACCCAATGGATGACATGAGTCTTCCAGCAGGGAGCGATCATGTCTTTACGTTTGGACAGCACAAGGGGTACACGTACCATGAGGTGTTGATGCAGTACCCTGGGTATTATGTTTGGGGTCGCAATGAACCAGGAACGTCAAGAATCCTGAACCAGTTCTTGGATTGGGTTGATATGTACTATGATGTTGACCATGGTACTCTCCAAGTAACCCCAAAAGTAGCCCCAGAAGCAGTGCAACCACGACCAAGCCCAGTGCCTGGATCGAAGCACAAGACTGCAGCCAGAAAACCTCCAAACCCTCCTGTGGAGATCCCTGGCCACGTTTGTAGGGACTTCATGAGATGGGGAAGCAATGCCTATGTTGAGAAGAAGACATGTAGGGAATGTGGTAAGGTCACAGTTACCCCAAAGAACCCAACATATGCCCATGACCCTGAAACATGCACTCATGCAGTCACTGACAAAAGGGGATCGACCAAGAGCACCAGCAGAACGTTTTGTCTGCTGTGTGGAACCCATGTGGACGAGATGCCACGTGATGAAGGAAAGCGCAGGGAAGCCTTGGGAAGGGCTGTGAGCCAGTCTGCTGCACCCTTGGTTGACCTGGCAGAAGATCTGTTGAAGTATGAAAGGTTGGAACTCCTTTTGAACACCGAAGATACAGTGGCTGTGATGCACCAATTTCAACATGACTGTGAAATTGAGTTGGAACACGACCACCACATGCGTGCCAGCGTCATGGTTGACATCTTGCGCAATGCCATTGAGGCCGTGATGGAAGCCAGAGAGACGACCCATGCAGCCTACATGGCACTGTCCCCTTTGGAGGACGAGCTGGAGTGTGATGCACTTCCTGTGGTTGATGTTCTCAATGATGAGCACGTTTGGGGTGTGTTGGACGAAGGTTGCAACTCAACTGTTTGTGGACATGATTGGATGGAATCATGCAAAGCCAAGTTGAAGAAGATTGGTTTTGATGCAGCCATGCAGTCAGAAGAACAAAAGGCATTCAAAGGTCTTGCAGGCAATGTACGCACCAAAGGTCGGTACAGAATCCCATTTGCACTGGAACCTGAAGGTGGTAAGAAGCTGCCATGTGTTTTGGAAACGTATGTGGTTGGAGAGCCAGGTGACCCCACACCTTTGTTGCTGTCACAACATGCTCAAGCAGCATTGGGTTTGGTGAAGGACATGGCAACATCCACATGCACACTTGGTAGGAATGGACCCACCTTGAAGTTGCACAGAACCAAGGATTCAGGACTTTTGTGTGTTTGCCTTAGCAAGGGTTTGATCAGCATGTCGTTCAGACAAACACCAACGCAGATCAGGGAGTTGAGAACCCCTGACAACATGGCATATGTCAGCACGACTCCTCGCACCATGGCCCCTTCTGGACAGCAGGTGCTGATCTACACTGCAGGGAAGGACTTTTGCCCTCCATTGGATGCTTACTGCAACGATCCATCAGCGCGCAACTTGGAGAGACTTTGCCAGAACTTTGGTCTGGGTGACAGGGAAGTCTTTGTGGTTGACACCCTGGAGCTTGGAGACCCTCATCATGACAAGAGTCTGAGGAGTCACATTGGAACTCATCCTGACATTCTGGCAGGGCTTGTGCGCAATGATTGGACGATGCAGGTCATGCATGCCTTGGTGAGACGAGTCAAAGAGGCAGTTGATGAGAACAAGGCTGTTGCAGTGATAGCCTACTGCAGAAGAAACCGACACAGGAGTGTGGCCCTGGGTTGGTTGGTTTCATGTGCCTTGGAGTTCTTGCAGGTCAGTTGCAGTTTGACACATGCAAATGCTCGAACCAGTTGGCAACAGATGTCAGGTGGATGTCGTGGCAGATGTGAGCACTGTCAACATGAGAATGCAGATGCCAAGACCGAAGCAGAAGATCATGCAGGGAAGTTGTGTGATCTGGCTCGTTGTGAGATGACCGAGAAAGACATGGCTGTGCTGGATGATGTCTGTGAGGTGAGGGGTATTGGATTGGCACCAGTACCAAAGGCAGCACCCTCAGCACCAGCACCGAGAGCGCCGAGACCCAGAGCGCCTCCTGAGCCATCGAGGGTGTCTTCAGCGAGTGCTGCAGCACGACCTGCCCCTGCATCACGACCACCACCGATGACACCACCAAGAAGATCATCACCAAGGAGGAGGACACCGACACCACCGAGAAGATCGAGGTCACCACCCAAAGAGGGACAGCAAACAGAGGCCTTGATTGCAAGGATCAGTGAGCTGACCACAGTGGTATCTCAGTTGGTTGCTGAGAGAGACCAAGCACGAGCTTCAGCATCTTCGACATACAGGAGCCGACGAAGCAGAAGTGATTCCCGGGATTCAAGACGACGTGGTCGATCAAGGTCCCCCAGGGAAAGTCGGTATGGTGAAGCGCCTTGGCGTCGAGAGGTGTCATACCGACGACCAAGGACGCCACCGAGACCACCTCCAAGACGAAGTCCATCACCACTTCCTCGTCGACGACCTCCAGCAAGACAGATGAGCGTTGAGTCAGTGATGGCTGGATGGCCAAGTCATTTGGACTTGCCTGCCAGGGAGGATGATGGAACCTCCTGGAACAAGCGAGTTGATGCCCACGGTCTTTCTGTGGAGCTGTTGGACGCCATGTGGTATGCAGCTGCTGTGGACCACCAGAGTGGCTACAAGCAGAAATGCCTGCGCTGGATTGGCCCTTACTTTCCAGGTACAACAGCTGAAGAGAGAAAGGTGCAGATCGTTGAGCAGAACAACATGGCTGCGAACGTGAAGGTCGCAGTGCTTGGGCCAGACTACATTGGGATGTGCTTGCAAGAGGAAACATCCAGTGTGAAAGGTCTCAGGAAATCTTGGGCATCACCTTCAATGAGAGTTGAAGGATGGAGTGTCACCATCTATGACTACATTGACAGAAGCTGGACTGTTGATGGAACGTACCCAGTGGAGTCTGAACTGGAGTATCAACATGAGTCCACTGGGAGGATCTTGGTGTATGCTCCCACAAGGGAAGCTGAGACTACACCACCTGATGACCCAGGTGATGCAGGTGACGCAGGTGACAACGGTGACAATGGAGATGGCAACAATGAAGGAGATGGCCATGAAGATGGACAAGATGAAGAACAGAAGGAAAACGATGATGTCGAAGAGATCACAGATGAAAGCACGCACCTTGCTATGGCAGAGGATGGTGGAGTAGAAGAAACCATGGAAACCCAAGAACCCATGGATGTGATTGAGGAAGTTCCCACAGCACATGCTGCAGTAACTGCCCCAAAAGAGGAAACTCCTGAACAGAAAACCCCTGAACTTAAGGCTTTGGGAGTAGTTGAGGGGACCCCTGAAAAACTTGCAATGCCGCACTTTGCCAAGGCCTTGACGATGCATCCCAGCAAATACATCGATCTCAACAGCGACGATGACCACGATCCAAGTGGTGCTACTGGATCAGACGCAGTTGCGACTGCAGTGAAGCTAGAGGTGAAAACAGAGCATAACCCATGTGCGCTGTTGGGAGCCTTGATGTCCAGTGAGTCAAGGGTGATGGACAAGAAAGACAAAAGTGTGGTAACCTCAGGGTTGAAGATCATGCAGCATGAGGATGAAGTCATGAAAGCTATGGTTGGGATTTCCCATTTGCAAGAATCGGTTCACATGTTGGTTTTGAAAGATCCCACAATCAATTTGTCCAGTTGGAACGATGTCCATGTCATGACTGTTGACCCCAATTGGGACGACACGTGCAAGAAGCTTGCAGCTAGGGTCTCATCCCAGAGTCCTGGACTGGTTGCAGTGTACATGGAAAGCCCCACTTGGAAGCAGATCCAAGATGTCCATTGTGAAGCCGACATGAACCAATGCACGGTTGTGGTTTTCACCCCATACCTCGAGAGCCTGGTTGACAAGGGTTATTGCTTTGGGGGTGATCTGTGCCTGTTTGTTGCAGGAGACCGCAACGATGCACTGTTCAGGCTGGCAGTGGATTGGAACGAGAGTCAAGAGAGCATGGCACCAAGGACATTCCAAGATGCTTGTGGTATGGAGTTTCATGAGCTGTTGAAAGGTCATTCAGAGAAGCTTTACCTAGATAGGTACGCACAGACATGTTTTGTTGGTGAAGCAATGGATGAGCAGTCTGGATCGGAAGACCAGATGCTGGATGATCCCAACAAGCCTCTGACTCCAGCAGAGAATGAGCAACTCATTTTGGATCAACTTGCAATCCCTGGAGCCCCATTGGATGAGGCCCAGAGGAGAGCACAATGGAGAGCACTGCCCACTCGAACTAGGATTGCCATCCGACGTTTGCACAGGCAATTTGGCCATCCTACACCTGCTACCTTGAAGAACATCCTGAAGGCAGGAAGGGCATCTCCAGAGCTGATTGAGGCAGCTCGACTGGTGAGGTGCCAGGCATGTGAGGACACCGCAAAACCCCCAAGGGATCACCCAGTAGGAAGTCATTTCAACTATGAGTTTAACTCTATGTTAGGTTTTGACGTTTTGGAAATGAGGGATCATTTGGGGAACAAGTACTCAGTGATGTCGATGGTTGACATTGCAACAGGTTTTCACATGTGCGAAGTTGTCAAGGAAGGTGGAGGACAGCCTACTTCAGAGGCATGTGCCAAGGCATTGATGACCAAGTGGATTGCTTGGGCTGGCTGGCCAAAAGCATGCATCATGGATCGAGGCCTACACAACCGAGGCGCAGTGACCAAGATGCTAGCCAGTCATGGGTGTAACATTGAGTTTGCCCCTTTGGAAACCCCAGCAGCAATAGGAAAGGTAGAACGTCATGGGGGTATCCTGAAAGCAATGGTCAGGAAAGTGGTTGCTGATACTGAAACAGCAGGACTTGCAGACTTTGAGATGTTGCTGCAAGAGTGCACATCCACAAAGAACAGCATGCAGAGAACGAATGGTTACAGCGCAAGCCAATGGGTTTTAGGAAAACAACCACGTATGCCGGGCTCAGTCACAGACATGTCAGAGAGCGCTGACTTGGGTGTGATTGAAGCGAAGACAGATCCAACTGTGGCGTATCACAAGGTGCACGCTGCAAGAATGAGTGCGCAGAGAGCCTTTGTCCATTTGGACACAAGCAACAGGGTTGCACGTGCGCTGACACGCAATGCAGCGCCCCAGCACAAAGAGTACCTAGTAGGTGATTTGGTTTGCTATAGGAGGGACGCACAACAAGGTGGCACAACATGGAGCACAGCATCCCGTGTGATTGGCCATGACCCCCACAATGGTTTGTGGCTGTTGCACGAGGGAGTTCCAATTTTGTGTAGCACAGCGCGTGTGAGGTCTGCCAACGAAAGCGAGGCCCTGGCTTTCTCCATCTTGAATGGGGAACCTGTGCTGCCAGACGCCATTGTGTCCGGCCCTCAACAACAGAAGTACATCCATCTTGAAGATGAACAACAAGGACCAAAGTTCCCAAACCCAGTTGGGATCTTTAGTGATGATGAAGGAGCCCCTCAGGGGAGCAGTGCGCCGTCAAGAGCCCCAGCGACACCAGGAAGACGGTCGAAGACCAAAGATAAGACGGGCCAATCTGAACGACCTGGCCCGTACACACGAGCCGCACCAATGACTCCAGGTGCACTGCCTGGTGACACGATGTTGGCCGAGCTAGTGGATGGAGACCACTGGCGCATTTCAAAAGATGTCGCGATCAGAGTCCATGCAGAGCCCAGGAAACGAGAGTACAACACGATGGTTGATGGTGAACTGCCAGAAGGTTTTCAGGACTCAGGTTTTGCAACAGTGAGAAAGATCTTCAGGAATGGGGATGTAAAAACAAACGAAACGGGTAAAGTAAGTAATGTAGAAGAGACAGACGCTTGGACCGGTTTCACCGTTTTTCGAAAGGCACAAGATCCTTTCGAGCGCGCGCGAGCCATGGATCTGGAACTGGACTTAGAACCTCTGAGGTCCTTCATTGCACAGCGCATTGTGGAGGCCGAGGAGACGGTTCAATCTGGGAAGGTGGCTAAAACAGTGGACATCAGAAAGGTCTCACCAGAGATCAGAGCCTTGATGATGGAAGCCCGAACTGCAGAGTGGGAGAAGTACAAAAGCTTCAACGCTGCAATTCCCATTTGGGGAAAGGAGCTTCAGAATCTGCTGGATGAAGGTCACAAGGTGATACCATCTAAATGGGTTGAAACAGATAAACATGAACACCTTAAGGGAGCCCCAGAATATAGTCCCAAGATGAAAGCTCGACTGGTGATTTGCGGTAACTTCGAAGATGTCAGTCGCGAGGATGTGAGGTGCGATGCTCCGACAGCAGATGCGGAGTCCCATTGCCTCCTGGCGAGCTGGGCAGCTTCAGAGAAGTTGCGTCTGAAGGGAAGCGATGTGACAAATGCCTATTTTCAAGCAAAGCCACTGACGAGGTTGCTACTGATGCGGCAGCCGACAGGTGGACTTGGAGATCCAGATGTGCCTGCAGAAGCGTGTTTGCTCTGTAGGGTGCCCATCTATGGTTCAATCGATGCAGGTAGAGGTTTCTACTTGCGCATGGATTCAGAAGTGAAGACAGCGGGTATGAATGCATCAAAGGTGATGCCTGCCCTGTACTATCATCAGGACGAAAACGGCGAACTGGATGCGATGTTATGCACCCACGTGGATGACCTATTGTTTGCCCACAAGCCAAGTGGAGCAAAGGTAATCGAGGAGATCCTTGGAAAGTTCTCAGTCGGAAAGACTGAAGAAGGAAGCTTCAGGTACTGTGGACGTCGATTTACCCAGCACGACGATTTCACAATCGAAATCGATGCTGAGGAGAACACCAGAGGAATCAAGCCAATTTGGAGTGATAAGTCCCGTAAGGGAACTGACGTTGTCACGGAAAAGGAGCTGACAAGTCTCCGGTCAGTGACGGGATCACTGGCGTGGGTCGCACGGTACTGTCGTGCCGACTTGGCATACAAGGTGAATGAACTGCAGAGACTTTGCAATTCAAAGGCCACGGTGTCAGACTTGAGGCTGGCAAACAAGGCTGTTGAGCTGGCGCACCAGAATCAGAACATGAAGCTGGTGCACAAGGCCAATTGGATTGATTGGAAGGATCTTGCAGTGGTGACGTACAGCGATGCGTCATTCGCAAATGAGCCTGGTTACAAGTCGCAGCAAGGCAGGACCCACCATCTAACTACAGCTTCGCGTTTAACGGAGAAGGACCATAGCATCCATGTGATCGGGTTCGCTTCGTCAACATTGAAGCGAGTGTGCCGAGCAACTTTGCAGGCCGAGTCGTATGCACTTCAAAGTGCAGTGGAACACGGTGACCGTTTGAGATGTGTCCTGTGTGAATTGACCGGCAAGTTGGCCACGATGACTGACTGGCACGAGCAATGCCAGGTGAAGATGAAACACGTTTGGGTGTCTGACTGCATGAGTTTGGTCGAACATCTGAACGCGGAAGTGCCGAAGAAAGTTCAAGACAAGAGACTCGGAATCGAGCTCGCGGCACTGAGGCAGTCCTTATGGACCGGGAATGGCCAGAAGAGCTGCCAGGAGTATGCGCCCTGCGGGGACGAGCTGTGGTGGACCGAGACCGCCAAGATGCTAGCCGACGCTCTGACAAAGTCAATGCGTCCGGACTTGCTGGTAAGAGTTGTACAGACTGGCCGTAATTCGATAGCATGAACACATCTACAAGATGCGTGGCCTGAGCCATCAGCAGGAATAGCCCGCTAGAAACTGTAAAGACCAGGTAGCCGGAACTGCCACGTGAGAACATGTAGATAAGACGGGTGTGAGAGTGAGGTCGTTTTGGACCCTTGCACCATGGTTCCCACGTGTGGCTTTTGGTTCGAATCTACCCTGACTTAGGGCCCTTGAGCTGTTGGTTGCAAAAACGGTCCCTAGCGCAATTCAAACTTGTTGTGCGGAAAACCAGCGGCCCCAAAATGGATGCCGGATGCCTTTTATGGCAGACATTGTCTTAACATGGAAGGCTGTTGAGGCTGAAACATAGTGCCCCCAAACGGATGCCCCCAATATATCCCTTTATGCCCCATTGAAAAACAACTTTTTTGTAGAGGACTATCGCCCGGCGTGTTTTCAACATGCAAACCAGTTTCTTGAAACGAAATGCCGCTGAAAGAAGAATGGATGCCTTTGAAAAAAGACTTTTTAATTCTCAGCGTTGAAGCCAATTTTTTGTTGAAACCTGATGCCACCAAAACCAATGCCTTTCATGTCAAAGATGCTGTCAACATTGCCCCCAAAATGGATGCCTTTATGAAATACGTTCTCAATGTGAAGCCAGTTCTTTTAAAGACAAATGCCCCCAAATGGATGCCTTTATGAAAGATGCTCTCAACGTGAAGCCAGTTCTTTTAAAGCAAAATGCCCCCAAATGGATGCCTTTATGAAAGATGTTCTCAATGTGAAGCCAGTTCTTTTAAAGACAAATGCACCCAAATGGATGCCTTTATGAAAGATGTTCTCAACGTGAAGCCAGTTCTTTTAGAGCAAAATGCCCCCAAAATGGATGCCTTTTGTGACAACTGTTCTTAATGCGAAACCTTTTCTTGTTTGACATGATGCTCCCCACATGGATGCCTTTTTTTCAAAGATATTGTCAACATTGAATCCTTTTTGTTTGACATGTTGCCCCTGAAATAGATGATGGGAGATGTTCTCAATGTCAACCACTTGTTTTGTTCGTCCAAGTTTGGAAAAGACGCTCTCAAGAATGAAAATCCTTTTGACAGAAACATTCTGCATGCAAAATGCTCGCCTGCCTTGTGAAACAAAGGCCCCCCCGAATGAGCTCGTGCCTTGTTTTCTGGGATGAAGAATAAACTGTCCGACACATATTCAAAATCATTTTCAGGGCTTCTGACTTTTTCACTTGGCTCTGGCTGTATATCCCGACCCTGCAAAATCATTCCAAAATGCAGCCTCAGCCTCGAGATATGGAACCTATTTTGGACCACCTTTTAGGACCCATAGCCATAATCGGTAGGTTCCCAAAACTATTCTTTTGGGCAATTTATCAGGGCCAGTGACTAGAACATATAAAATAATGCTTAGGGATGCTTAGGGCAGTTTGTACATGTTACCAGCGTACCCGATAGGACACACAGCTATTTTAGTCTTGATATTTTCAGGACAAGAAACGAGCGCCTTCCACCGAAGCAAGCGACCAAGTCTCTGGAATGAGGAAAGCAAAAACTCTGCACGACCCCAGCAGTTTCACGCCACCAGGAGGAAACTCAGATGCGTTCATGGAGGCGCCTGTGTAGAGGCCACAAAGATCGACTTGTTCGGCTGTTCGATCCAGTCCCAAACGTATGGGAACAGATCACTTGAGTCTTATAGTCTTATCTCGTTTTTGAGGTGGCCAACCACCCTTTAAATTGCAGGGGTATTTTTCTTCCTGTCTATTCGAGGGCGAAAAAACGCTGCAATTGTTAACTGGTTAGTGGTTTGAGTCATATTTTCCATCTTCCATCCATACTTGGGATGGTTAGCTCCATCGTTCAACATGCTTTGGGCTGTAACTGTCCATGTTGGCCAAAGCCTGGGTGGTGCTCTGGGCGACGCCTGGGACATGAGTTGCTGACAACTTGGAAAACATGGGGGTTTCTGCCCAGCCAGGGGAATTGAATGGAATTGAATCTGCCAAATGGCGGCCATCGAAATGGTGGATCCATTGGGATGCTTCAGCCGCTTCATCCAAGCGCACTGAAGCAAAAAGATGCGAAAAATATATGTCCATCCTTGTTGCAACAAAATGTTTCTGATGCGGTCGGAGATATTCAGATCCGAAAAAATTGGAGTAGCTTCCAAGAGTCAAGGAAGAACTTCACTTCAGGAAGACAGTTGCCAACACTGCGATAGTCAGAAAAGTTCTTCTCTTTTGCAGATGATGCGCCGCAGCATTTGAAGCAGCCTGACAGAAGCTTGCACCCTGCAAGTGCATCCATTGCAAATCCCCGATAGACAACGATCTAAGCAATCTACTGACGAAGCCAGTTGGATTCACATTGATTGACGCACACACTGAGGAATTCAGGGGCAACCAAGCAGATTCGACAAACATTTTTGGACTATCAGATAAATCTCTGCAAGCTGTGTGTTGGGTGCATGTTGGATGTCATGTAGGTTGCGCACACACACATATTTGCAGACAGTCCAGCACCAGAAATTCGCCCACTTTACACAACAGATTGAATTGAATAAACCATGCAGTGGCCCTGCTTTTTGTTCCGTTCGGTCGAATGCTGCATTGCGGATATAGCCAGCAGATTGAAGGAAATCAGACAGTTGCGTTGGGTGGGGATACATCCCTTGACAGCTTCAACATTTTTGGATTCAGAATTCAATCAACTTGCACTGCCAAGCGCGCGTTTTGCCATTGCACCGGCCTTCCAGTCCCTGCGTCAGCCGGGATGCCCAGTCAACGTGGAACTCTACAGAGCAGGTGGTTCTACAAATGGCTGCATTGGAAAGATCGACTGAAAGATCCGGGTGGAAATCACAGCCCTGTCGTTGATCACTTTGGAATGTAGGAGGTGCGCGCATTTCACATTTGATACGCATGATTGAATGGGAACAGACGCGCAGTAATCATTTACGCTTTGCGTATTGGCTGGAGCATTCAAAAACCACATGTATTCATCATTGAAATCCGAGAAAATTTTGGGTCAGAAAGGCAATCATTTTGAAGAGAATCAACAGAAAATAGATGAAAATAGATGATGAAAGAATGGATGAAGCCACACTTGTCCTGACGGGTGGCTGCTAAGGACTGAGCCCGCCAAGCAGAGCCTCCTTTTAAGCGTTTTTGCTGTTGACCTCAGCCGGAGCCCCAAACCAATTCTTGGTGCAGTCTTGACCAAATTCTTGAGACACAAAACTCAGTATTTGACGACAAACCCAGTGCTTGTCCTGACTGATGGCTGCTGATTGCCTCGAAGGCAAGGGTCATTGGACCCGCCAAGTAGAACCCATTTCGACTGTAGTTGCTGCTGGCGACAGTTTGCTCAACAACAGGATTAACTTCACAGAGGGCTGAAGGGTTGCTGCCTTCACTACCCTTCAATTACCTTGCCAAATCTCTTTTCGATCGCGTTTAGGTCTCACAATGGGCTGCCGCATTAGTCGTAGAAGAACTGCCCAGGTGGAGAGAATTCCATTCAGCTCCGGGATAAGGGGTTTGGCTCAACTTACATGAGTGCACGGCATGTCTTTTTTCACGCGTCAGATCTTGAAGCCTGCACGGCAAATCAGCACACTCGAAAAAATGTCAACATATTTATGATATAAATACTTGAAACATACACAGACATGAAAACTGATTGGTCATAGTTGTAGACATGTATGCATATTCAAGCTTCCAACACGTTCACTGGCGGTCGATTGTTTCCAGGACATGTTGTTGCCGCTAACAGCGAGCAACTTGGATGGCCCTGAGACTGCCCAGACCGAGGCAGGAAACGACAGTGAATGGCACATCAAGATGAATTCCTGCAGCCGTTCAGTTGCAACTCGGTCTCAACCTCCCAGCTTGGCAGATACCTTTCCTCCAAGTGGAGATGGACCGGCCCTTCGCATCAAGTGCAGAACAGGGAACCAAAGAGATCGAGGCTCATATCGCTGGGCACAGTTGCTTGATTTGTCTGACATTCCGGTGATAATTATTTCTAAACATGGTATCTAGTATCTAGACTGTTCGACCGTAGAGGCGCGTTCTCGCCCCTCACACTTTTGAGATCTTTTGCGGCATTTGTATACCTCCGGAATCAAGCGGACAACAGCTTCAAACCAGATCAAATTCTGCCGTCCAAATTCCCTGCTTGCGACCCACTATGCAACTTGGACACCACTAATCTATACTAATCTAAAGGATTTCGATTCAAAGTGTGGTGAACAAGGACCGGTGTGGAAGCTGTGTTGAGCAGGCTGATGTGGATCCAAGAGGGGTTGAAGTGGAGGCAATCTTTCAACTTCCAAGCTTTACCAAACCGAGCACCGCAGAAACTTAAAGCATGTGTGAGGCACAGCGGGATGGCATCAGAGCCGGGGCAACCAAAGCGAAGACCGAGGCTCTGGGCACAGTTGCTTTGTCTGACGTTCTCGTGGTATCCAAAGATATGATATCTAGGTCGGTAGGTGCCGTGTCGTCCCTCACTCTTGCACGGCTATGTTATACTAAATCGGTTTCTGCCACCCAACTGGGCTACTTTCTAGTGGATTTCTAGTGGAGGCTACACCCTGGACTGGCTTCAACCTTTCAATTTCCAAGTGTTTATCAAACGTGATGAGATACAAGAAGAGGAAAGCATTCTCACCACCGCAAGGGTGCTAGAGCTTCATTGCAGCAATGGCGAGTTGAACAGACAGTTGTCATCAGTTGTCCACTTTTCAAGTATTCAGGTCTCAAGAAACGGCCCATTCCACAATCACAAATCTCATTGAGCTAGTCTTTTCACCCTTTGAAAATCCGATGTTAATGACCTTTACACTTGACAACTGATGTTGTGCGAACCAAAGTGGACCTTTTCGATGTTCAAAGGAGGGCCTATGATACCATGACCAGTAATTAAGATATTTTCTAGTCGAAGCAGTCAAGTGCCTGTGGAATCAAGGAAGCTGCACGGACAAGTCATGACTATGGGTTTCTAGAAGCGTGC